TTAGATGGAGGACAGAGTTAGAAAACAATGAAGTTTTTCTTGGGTTAAAAAAAAGATATTTCCTTCTATGTGTTTTATATAGAGGATGATTGATATTTGTGTTAAACTATGTTACGCAATCAAATAGTTTAACCCTTTAAAAGCAGCTAAAGGAAAATATTACCACTACTTTAAACTAAGTGTAAACCTGCTAAAACCTGTATTTCTATAAAATACTTATTAAAAACATTAGCTGGGTGTTTGTAGTTTTAACCATAGTGATTAAAAGCCAGTGTTGATAGTCTAAAGAGCCACTTGCAGCTGTTAAATCACAGGTTGCAAACCCTAAGATTAGAGTTACCATTTCCTTCCTCAGGACAAGCTAAAAGTGGATGCAGTGATAAGCAGCAGCTTTAAGGTGCAGGAGACGTGAAGAAAGAAAGAGCCAAACAGCCGATGAACACGTTTAACCCTCCAAGTGGTTAAAGGCAATCAGCCCTTTTAAGGATTTAGGGAAGGAAAATGGCTTAAAGAAATAAATGCATGACGCCCACCTTAATGATTCTATCTCCTGTTTGGACACCAGCCCGCATTGCAGCTCCATCTGTAACAGAAAAACAAGCAGAATAAGACATTAGCTTCAAAAATGAGCTATAAAAATCTACGTCCCCTTCAGCCTTACCTTCTTTAACCAGCTGCACAAACACCGGGTTGTCGCCACTTACTGTCAGACCAAAGCCATTTTCATCTCTTTGGATTATCACACAGCGCTGGACCAGACCTGCCATTTTAAAACAAGAACATTTAATCAAATTAAAAGTTAACGTTGCCAATTAAATAATATTCATGATACAAAAAAAAAAATAGTTTCTAAGTTTAGAGCCTGTGCTCTGTTGGTGTAGCCTGTGGAGGGAAGGAAAGGATGCAGGAAATGACAAATCGACAGAATAAAACAAACAGAGCTGCAGAAATAGCAGCAACAAGAGTCACCGAGACTCAAAACCTGGAGAATACAAAAGAAATTGTCATTATTGAAAGCAATGGAGTGAGTTTTACAACAATGTGGACTGAGAGAAATTAAATAAAGAAAGAAGTCTTCATTAAAGACAAAAAATGGACTTCCTGAGCTGAATAACTAAAGCCTGAACATTGATTGATGTCCCAGACACTGAAGCTGATTTGGGAATGGATAAAGCAGATTGAACATTACCCTAAGCATCTTGAATGAACCTTTTAAAAAAAAGAAAGGAAAAAAAAGCGGGGGTTAAATATTCTGCAGAAATGATAACAACTTTTTGTTGGATGTAAAAACCTTTGATGTGGTATTTATGAAAGGACATTTAAACAAATAGTGGAAGTGTGTATGCAGTGAAAAAACGAATGAATGGTAGCGAAAATTACCAATAACTGCTGGGTTGTCTACGACGGAGTATTAGGGCCAGGATACAGATTCCTTTTTTTTTTAGTTCAAGAATAAAGTCGCAACATTACGAAAATAAAGTCGTAATATTACAATAATAAAGTCATAAAATTACAAGAATAAACTAAGAACTAAGTCATAACATTAGGAGAATAAAGCTGCAACATTACCAGAATTATGTTGCAACATTCCGAGAATAAAGTCATAAAATTACAAAAATGAAGTCGCAACATTACGAAATTAAAGTTGTAATATTACGAGAATAAAGTCGTAACATTACGAGAATAGAGTCATAATATAGGAGAATAAAGCTGCAACAAGCCGAGAATTATGTTGCAACATTATGAGAATAAAGTCATAAAATTACAAAAATAAAGTCGCAACATTAAGAAATTAAAGTTGTAATATTACGAGAATAAAGTTGCATAACTACTAGAATTATGTTGCAACATTATGAGAATAAAGTCATAAAATTACAAAAATGAAGTTGCAACATTACGAAATTAGAGTCGTAATATTACGAGAATAAAATTGCAACACTACTAGAATTATGTTGCAACATTATGAAAATAAAGTCATAAAATTACAAAAATAAAGTTGCAACATTACGAAATTAAAGTTGTAATATTACGAGAATAAAGTCGTAACATTACGAGAATAGAGTCATAACATTAGGAGAATAAAGCTGCAACACGCCGAGAATTATGTTGCAACATTATGAGAATAAAGTCATAAAATTACAAAAATAAAGTTGCAACATTAAGAAATTAAAGTTGTAATATTACGAGAATAAAGTCGTAACATTACGAGAATAGAATCATAACATTAGGAGAATAAAGCTGCAACACGCCGAGAATTATGTTGCAACATTATGGGAATAAAGTCATAAAATTACAAAAATAAAGTCACAACATTAAGAAATTAAAGTTGTAATATTACGAGAATAAAGTTGCAACACTACTAGAATTATGTTGCAACATTATGAGAATAAAGTCATAAAATTACAAAAATGAAGTCGCAACATTACGAAATTAGAGTCGTAATATTACGAGAATAAAGTCGTAACATTACGAGAATAGAGTCATAACATTAGGAGAATAAAGCTGCAACACGCCGAGAATTATGTTGCAACATTATGAGAATAAATTCATAAAATTACAAAAATAAAGTTGCAACATTACGAAATTAAAGTTGTAATATTACGAGAATAAAGTCGTAACATTACGAGAATAGAGTCATAACATTAGGAGAATAAAGCTGCAACACTACTAGAATTATGTTGCAACATTATGAGAATAAAGTCATAAAATTACAAAAATGAAGTCGCAACATTACGAAATTAGAGTCGTAATATTACGAGAATAAAGTCGTAACATTACGAGAATAGAGTCATAACATTAGGAGAATAAAGCTGCAACACGCCGAGAATTATGTTGCAACATTATGAGAATAAATTCATAAAATTACAAAAATAAAGTTGCAACATTACGAAATTAAAGTTGTAATATTACGAGAATAAAGTCGTAACATTACGAGAATAGAGTCATAACATTAGGAGAATAAAGCTGCAACACGCCGAGAATTATGTTGCAACATTATGAGAATAAAGTCATAAAATTACAAAAATAAAGTTGCAACATTAAGAAATTAAACTTGTAATATTATGAGAATAAAGTTGCAACACTACTATAATTATGTTGCAACATTATGAGAATAAAGTCATAAAATTACAAAAATTAAGTCGCAACATTACGAAATTAGAGTCGTAATATTACGAGAATAAAATTGCAACACTACTAGAATTATGTTGCAACATTATGAGAATAAAGTCATGAAATTACAAAAATGAAGTGGCAACATTACGAAATTAGAGTCGTAATATTACGAGAATAAAATTGCAACACTACTAGAATTATCTTGCAACATTATGAAAATAAAGTCATAAAATTACAAAAATAAAGTTGCAACATTACAAAATTAAAGTTGTAATATTACGAGAATAAAGTCGTAACATTACGAGAATAGAGTCATAACATTAGGAGAATAAAGCTGCAACACGCCGAGAATTATGTTGCAACATTATGAGAATAAAGTCATAAAATTACAAAAATAAAGTTGCAACATTACGAAATTAGAGTCGTAATATTACGAGAATAAAGTCGTAACATTACGAGAATAGAGTCATAACATTAGGAGAATAAAGCTGCAACACGCCGAGAATTATGTTGCAACATTATGAGAATGAATTCATAAAATTACAAAAATAAAGTTGCAACATTACGAAATTAAAGTTGTAATATTACGAGAATAAAGTCGTAACATTACGAGAATAGAGTCATAACATTAGGAGAATAAAGCTGCAACACGCCGAGAATTATGTTGCAACATTATGAGAATAAAGTCATAAAATTACAAAAATAAAGTTGCAACATTAAGAAATTAAACTTGTAATATTACGAGAATAAAGTTGCAACACTACTAGAATTATGTTGCAACATTATGAGAATAAAGTCATAAAATTACAAAAATTAAGTCGCAACATTACGAAATTAGAGTCGTAATATTACGAGAATAAAATTGCAACACTACTAGAATTATGTTGCAACATTATGAGAATAAAGTCATGAAATTACAAAAATGAAGTGGCAACATTACGAAATTAGAGTCGTAATATTACGAGAATAAAATTGCAACACTACTAGAATTATCTTGCAACATTATGAAAATAAAGTCATAAAATTACAAAAATAAAGTTGCAACATTACAAAATTAAAGTTGTAATATTACGAGAATAAAGTCGTAACATTACGAGAATAGAGTCATAACATTAGGAGAATAAAGCTGCAACACGCCGAGAATTATGTTGCAACATTATGAGAATAAAGTCATAAAATTACAAAAATAAAGTTGCAACATTACGAAATTAAAGTTGTAATATTACGAGAATAAAGTCGTAACATTACGAGAATAGAGTCATAACATTAGGAGAATAAAGCTGCAACACGCCGAGAATTATGTTGCAACATTATGAGAATAAAGTCATAAAATTACAAAAATAAAGTCGCAACATTAAGAAATTAAAGTTGTAATATTACGAGAATAAAGTTGCAACACTACTAGAATTATGTTGCAACATTATGAGAATAAAGTCATAAAATTACAAAAATGAAGTCGCAACATTACGAAATTAGAGTCGTAATATTACGAGAATAAAGTTGCAACACTACTAGAATTATGTTGCAACATTATGAGAATAAAGTCATAAAATTACAAAAATGAAGTCGCAACATTACGAAATTAGAGTCGTAATATTACGAGAATAAAGTTGCAACACTACTAGAATTATGTTGCAACATTATGAGAATAAAGTCATAAAATTACAAGAATAAAGTCGCAACATTACGAAATTAGAGACGTACAGTAATATTACGAGAATAAAGTTGCAACACTACTAGAATTATGTTGCAACATTATGAGAATAAAGTAATAAAATTACAAAAATAAAGTCGCAACATTACGAAATTAAAGTTGTAATATTACGAGAATAAAGTTGTATGTTATGACAACTCTTACAAGAAGCACTTACATTGCAACATAGATCTGATCAATGTGTGCAACTAAATTCTCCATACAGGAGCAACTTGAGGCTGTCATTGCTAACAAAGGCATTTGTACTAAGCATTAAATACATTCCTGTGTGTTTAATACATTATCATTCTGAAATTTCACTTTATTAAACATAACTTCATTTCAGGACATCTATGGTTTCATTTCTTAGCATGTGTGGATTGCATGTATTGAAAACGTCATGTCAATAGCACCTCTAGAAATATATTTACTGAGCAAACTGGTGGCGTGTTCAATACTTATTTCACCTGCTGTATATATGTTTAATCTGTGCTGATTAGTGAAAAATCATCACAAGTTCAAATCTGTGCACCAAATAAATATTTTTCAGATTTATTGAGGTCCATCAGGTTAGTTTCATCATTCCAGTCTAAAATAACTGTTCATATCTACCAGTAAAAACCCATAATAAAAATATAATTGATCGTAATGAGAGTGTATGTAAACATTAACCTGTTACTTTATATAAAGCATTATTTGAGTAGGGAAAGTCCCTCTCAGATCATAACAATAAAACACTGTCACAAAAAAACTTTGATTCCATAATGATGTAAAAATGCATTAGAAAACTGTTTTTTATCCAGTTGACAATGTATTAAATTACGGTACTAAAAAATGAGTACAAACCTTTCAGAACCACAGCAACTTATCAGTTGCTTCTGCTGATTAAAATACAGGTTCACAACATTCAAATCTACAACATGATTGAAAAACGGGCAGCAGATTGTGAATGTCTCAGATCCTGCACTCGTTTTCTTACACTTGACAGACTCTTCTGAGAGAGCTAAGTGTATAAGCGGTTGTCTTCTGGACTCCATGAGTAGCTTCAAGTATCCAGGGTGAACAAAAGGCCATGAAGGATGAATGTCAACCCCGCCACCCAGGCAACCACCCTAACAACAGTCAGACCTGTGCTAAAACTTACAACATCCCTGCACATCTGTTCAACAATCTCAGAGCTAAACAATGGAGGATTATGCATGTGTCACACTGTACAGACAAAAAAAAAAACATGCACTAGATTTTAAAAAAGACGTACGAAAAAACACACAGAAACAAGCTCAGTGCTAAAACGACACAGCTGAAATTCAATTTGAGCTGAATTGATAAATTATGATTATTTTTAAATAATCTGCCAACTATCTTTTTTCTATAATAGCGGTGCAGTAAAGACAAAAGATGTATACATTATCCCTCTTCCTCTCTATTTATTTTATTCCTATTCCTCTCTATACCGATTTTTTTAAACATTTTCCCTAAAGCAATGACATAAGGTGGCACCCGTGGAGCCCTTATTTATTTATTTTTTTATTTTTTCGACACTAGTGGCTCGTTTTTAATAGCCTGACAAGAAAGGGGGATTGAGAGAGGGGGAGAGACATGCGGCAAAGGACCACAGACTGGATTCGAACCCGGGTTGCCTGCATCGAGGACTAAGACCTCCATACATGGGTCTGTGCGCTGAACACTGCGCCACCAACCCTAACCCTATGTGACCCACATACCAACCTAATTCTCATGTTTATCAACTTACCAGATCAATTAGCTACTGACCCTAATATCAGTGGAATATATACCCAAACCTTACACCTGACCCTTGCCTTAAATTACACTTAGCCGATCCCTAACCCTGACACTTGCCCTAAACCTAATTTTAAGCCTTGCCCTAACCCTAAAACCTAGCCATTACTCTAAAAGCTAACCCTAATTCTTCAAGTTCTACAAACTGGCTTGGCTATGGATCTGAGAGATACCAACAAATGTGCGCCGGCCCGTGCAATGCCTTTGATCCCCTAACCAACTGCTCTAGTCGTCGGAGTGGGTGGGGGGGTGGATGGGGGGTCTTCGAGAGAGTGGCTAACGCCTATTCCTGCACCTAACACAAACCTTTTTTTTGTGTGTGTGTGTGGTTGTATTTCTGTAGTAGAGGCGGTCCCAGTGACACAGGTGGACTCTTAGACATTTTATACATAGACGCCTTGTCTCTACCTGATCTGTCCCGGAAGCACCATCCGTCTGCGCATACGCAAACAGATATACATCCTGGTGTCCATGTATGTAATTATGGTACTAAAACTACTTATTTCTGTCCTTAACTTACTAAATAATGCTAATACACATCTTTAAAAAATGTTCTATGACTTTTGTGAGACAATTTTATGCTTTTGACATTTTCTTCGTTAAACTGCTTCTTTGACATCATCATCAGACATGCGCAGAGGAGTCCGGCAAAATATGATAAGGTTTCTGTGCTTAGAAGTTTATCTAAACTTCTTCAAAAATTCTTTTTCAAATTATGTTTTCTTTTTTTTAATCATTATTTAGGCATATGTGAACATTTGTTCTTTAATCAGTTAATTTGTGTCATATATATATATATATATATATATATATATATATATATTTTTTTTTTTTTTTTTAGAATTTGTTCTTTTCGGTGGTTACTATATGTAAGAGATTATTGTAAAATTATCCCTGACTTGTCTTTAAAGGGACACTATGCAACATTTTTCAGTTAATTAATGTGTTCCATAACGTTATGGATGACTAAATGAGTCATTTCAGGTTGAACAAAGGTATTCTCGGCCGCCCTGGTGGTCTGTGGGGGAAATACTGCACTTGCAACTGCAGGAGCACCGACCCGCACCCACAGGCTCAGAAGTCTCGTGAGAGTCAGTCTTGCTTTACGGCGAGAACTGCTAAACGCCCCCAGTTAAAAGCATTCTCGTTGCTAGCACAGTGGCAATCTTTGTGCAGTTATGCTACGTTCACGCTGCAAAAGCAGCAAAATCGCGTCTGCTGCTTCCTTTTTGCTGCTTGTACCAGTTAGTTCTGACGCGTGGCTGAAGCAGCTTTGCTGCTCTGGCTGCGCGGTGCAAAAGTGTGTCTGAGGCGCGTTGGGCGGAGCTTCACTATCCTTTCTCTGCCTTGCAGCTATATTTGCTGTGATCAGTGGGAATAAAGTAGTTTTAATATGTGTTTAAGTGAGAAAATACACCTGAAAACGTAATCAGTGCCGTCAGTTCATTCAGATTATAATCCTGCCTTCAATATTTTTTCTGTCGGAGCCGCTCAGACCCCCACATACCAGCGGGGCGCCGACAGTATGGATCCCTTCATCAGCAGCGGTTCACCGCGGCAGCTGGTAGGTGTTTTTCATCTAAATAATCCAAACTGCATATGCTGCCGGCAGATTTCTGCATTTTAAGTTAATTTAGGCGTCAATAAACTGTTTAAGAGGAGTGATCATCAGCGCTGTGTCTCTCTCCCTGCGTTAAACGCACCCGACGCGCTGCTTCAGCTGCTCAGACGTGCTGCGCCTGGTGCTCAAAACGCGCCGCGGGACCTTTTGTTGCGCCTTGACGCGCGTCAGCCATTGACTTTGCATGTAAACTCGCTGCTTCTGTCGCGCCAGCTACGTCCAGTGTGAACGCAGCGTTAGTCATTCGCTGCTAAGCTCAAAACAACCGCGCCTGGCTTGACGGAGAAACCAGGAGAACAGCTGTGCATATTTACGACAGTGCACTTTTACTTTCGCCCTCTGGAGGGAGCCTCACTGGAAAATCAACACCGGTTGCATAGTGTACCTTTAATGTAATTGTGGTCGGGTGGTTTATTAGCTGAAAACACTGTTTACATACAATAGCTGTAAATTCCCACCCGTTTTGGGCCCTTGAATGTCTCAATGCCCAGTTTTCCCCACCTTCACTTCTGTTTTACAGCGTTGTTATTCTCTTTAGCGTATATCGGCAGCAGGTGTGCCCGGCAAGCTGTCAGAATCAGGTCCATTGTGGTGTGCAGTTGGATCTCTGTTGGATGAGCGTTGGCGTTGGGCTAGTGGATCAGGATTTGGATTCTGAATTTCGGGGGGTTTTCACTGCAGTACTGAATGTAACTGCTTGTGTGGCTGATTAAGATGGCTGATATTGCATATTATGCTCTCACCTAGGTGTGTTTTTTTAGATGCTCTTGGTTAACTGGCTAATAGGTTTTCTATAGATCTGGGGTTTTAGGACAAGCACTACAGAGCCAGAATGACAGTTAATTGTTTTTCTGAATTAGCTGATTGGACACAGCTCTACAGAACTGGTTTGATACAATGTGAGATTCGTTTAATTGGTTTAACATTATTTTGTGTGCTGCTAGAAATTGGGTTTGCAGTTTATTAAGTCTCAGATTGCTTCTAGTGTTGTCACAGCTTCCTGTGCCTTATTTGGTTTTAAATTAGAAAAATAAAGTATATCTTTAATTGTAAAAGATTGTATAAATAAAATATATTTTGTACACTATTTCTGTTTCATCACTTTAAGCAAGACCTACCTATGTACATTTAATTGGGCGACCCAATGGCCACTTGATGTTATTTTTAGAGGTCTACCAGTTGGTTTAGGACGACGTCCTCTGTCACAATCCGGGTCACAATCCGGGTTCTTCCCCTGTGGTTCATAATTAAAATGAAATCTAAGACTTTTCATTCTGACCGCAGATGTCTGCACTGTGGTCTGATCCAAGATGGCCGCCCTCTAGGCATGTCGGCTAGCGTCCAACGAGGCGTCTACGTATATAACGTCTATGGGTGGACTGACTCAAACCCAAAACAACATGGCTACCAAAATAACTGAATGATCAAAAAGTTCAATTTGAACATGTACAGTAGTCGCGTTTCCCCCTATTTATTGAATTTTGATATTAGTTGAGTAAAATATCGCTATATATCTTGATATTGCAACATACATCATGTAGTGTCTTTACTACTTTGATTTATTGACTAGAGGTCTGATTTAATTGTTAATCATTGGATGAAAATAGGTGATTAAAATGACATCTTTCTTTAATGAAGCAAGCCATTAAACTAATATGCAGACGTAAATCTTTGCCTCACCTGTTGGATCAAACTCATGTGTGAGGGAGAAGGTGGATTTCCCATTCTTTGGTTTTTTGTCCGTAAGGTCTTTGCTAAGATGGCTTGGGGTCCTGTAGAGACAAAAACAAATAAGAATGTGAATTTACTGATAAATCACTACGATTTCGTACTTCTAATTGCCTCTCGATATTCCTTATTAAAAAAAAAATATTTGCCTGATGATGTGAGGAGCTGTGGCTCTGTGTGTTTTTTAATCCAATCTAAGATGAATGAAAGCTGCTGTTCTGTCAGACCAGCATAGTCAATATGCATGCGCAACACGTCTAATTTGCATTCATCCTTTTAGTTTTGTACGAAAAATAGACTTTAAAGTCAATGATGGTAGATACTGTACTGAAGTAGATTTTTCTGATATTTTTACTTTACTTTACTATTTATTTTTATGGCGACTTTTTACTTCTACTCCTTACATTTTTACACAAATATCTGTCCTTTCTACTCCTTACATTTTAAAAAATTGTCTCGTTACTTCAGTTTTTAATCATTTCAATGGAGTTACCGTTATTATTTTTCACGTCATCAATACCAAATTCAATCTAATTGGATGGGAATCTACGTTGCATTTGACGCACCACTACAAGATGAATCGACAGATTCGGCGGTATTCATTGGCGGCAAATCATTGCAGCTTGGTGGCGGTGGCGTTAGCATAGTAGCATGGACGACGAGATGATTGAAAATGAACACAACGGAGATCTAGTCCTATTGGCAGACATCCATTTAAAATGTAGGCAATGGCATGAAAAAAGTGGTTTCTACTTTTACTTTTATACTTTAAGTAAATTTACAAGCCTGTACTTTGTTACTTTTACTTGAGTAAAGAAATTTAATCAGTACTTCCACTTTTACCAGAGTATTTTTTAACACAAATATCTGTACTTTTACTCAAGTACGGAAAGTGAGTACTTTTGCCATCTCTGTTTAAAGTACCTCGACGTTTTTTTGTACACGACTAAAGGATAGACGCCAGATGAGATAGTTTATAGTTTATTTTTCATACAAAATTAAAGGGATAAACGGGTATTGACTATGGGTATGCTCATCTGACAGAATACTGTCATTCTTAATTTTGTTTTGTAACTTGTAAAGGAAGTGTATATGTAAATTAGCAATATGCCATTATCTGGTCACCATGTGACAAACCAGCAGTGGTGTCAAAAGTACACAGATTTGTTACTTAAGTAGAAGTATAGATACTGCAGTTTAAAAACACTCTGGTAAAAGTAGAGGTATCAACTTGACCTATTTACTCAAGTAAAAGTGAAAAAGTATGTGCTCCAAAAAATACTTTAAGTATAAAAGTATAAAATAACCTTTAAAAAAACAGCAAGATGCCACTATAAGAACTGAAAGCTCAATTTTACGACTATTTCGAAGAAAATCTTTGAGGCAAATTTGACGAATAGCTAACCAGTGAGTGTTTGCGTTATTTGACTCATCCAATTACACTAGTTTTCACTACGTGTGGATGGTGCCATTGATCTGCATTGGATGGCGCACATGAGGGGAAATAAATATTTATAAACATTAAACTGAAGCCAAAAGTAACAAGTAATGTTTGTTGTAAAAACGTAAGGAATAGAAAGTACAGATACTTGTGTGAAAATTTAATGAGTAGAAGTCAGAAGTAGGGATAAAAATAAGTAATGGAGTAAAGTATAGATAGCTAAAAACTGTACTTAAGTACAGTTATGAAGTATTTGTACTTTGTTACTTGACACCTCTGCAAACCACTGCATCAAACTCACCTTATTAATATTTTTGGGCACCATGTTTTTTTCTCCCAAACTGTTTAAATTTAATCCCTGCTACACTCATTTTGTATACACTCTGTGTGTACAAAATGACAATAAAAGTTGTCTATGTCTACCATGCATCAAATGGTGACATTTGTTTTAAATTATAAAACGTCTCTTTTTAGATAAACTTCAGACATACGTACCCAAAAAATGTATATAACCCCCAAACAATAAGAAATACTCCCTTTTATGAAAGCTGTAACACTTTAGTGTACAAAAAATGTGTTGCTTTCATCAAAAGAAATTGAGTTAATGAGGTACAATTACCCTTTTACTACACTAACTATGATTGAAATCATTCTCAGTGCATTTTATCCAGTAAATAAATCTCACGGACGAGGCATTGCTGAAACAAGGCCGTTCAGTTGACCTGTCATAATAAACCAAAACACATCTTAGCCTGAAGATAATAGAGTCAGCTATTAGTAGCATTAGCATCCCATTACTGATCTGCACATCACATTTCTTTGTGATTCTTAACATATGTGTAATTGAAAATATATAATACATTAAAAATTTGTTACATGTTGAAATTAAAATAGTTCACAGGGTTGCATTTGGTTTTTGTCTAAATTAGTCACAAATTATTGTGATCTTAGCTAACTAACTCTGACATTACTGATTAGAATGCAATACAACGACTCCAAGTACAGAACGTGCAAAGATGCCCCTGACACAATCCAGCACATAACTGCCTGGTGTAAGATGCTAGCAGGGAAAGCTTACATGGAGCGCCATAACCAAGTGGCTGGAATAGTGTACAGGAACACCTGTGCAGAATATGGGCTGGAAACCCCAAGGTCAAAGTGGGAAACACCTCCAAAGATGGTAGAGAACGAGCCAAGATCCTGTGGGACTTCCAGGTACAAATGGACCGAATGGTAATGGCAAACCAAACGGATATGTGGTGGTGGACAAAAAACAGAGGAAACCCGTTGTGGTTGCCATCGTAAGCCTAAGCATGCTTGCAGCGACAGCGGAGAGGAAAAACTCCCTTTTAACAGGAAGAAACCTCCAGCAGAACCAGGCTCAGTGTGAGCGGCCATCTGCTGAGGCCGACTGGGGTTCAAGGAGACAGAAGCAGACATAGAAAAAGCAGCTGTAAAAGGCGGCCCCATCCAGGAAACACACAGCCAGGCAGACGAGCTCCGAGCGAGAGAAACAGGACTACACTGGAAAAACAGGCTTATCTCCAACATCTAGAAACAAAGGTGTTGATGGAAGCAGCACAGCTGATATTTCTCTCCAGGATGGAGTCACAGCGAAACAGAAACAGACCAGATGAAGCTACTATGGAGAATAGAGATAGAATGAAGCAGAATGATGAAAAAGGGGTCCCTATGTCCTCCAGCAGTCTAAGTCTATAGCAGCATAACTATAGAGATAGCTCAGGATAACCTGAGCCACTCTAACTAGCTTTATCAAAAAGGAAAGTTTTAAGCCTAGCCTTAAAAGTAGACAGGGTTTGGAGTTGGTTCCACAGGAGAGGAGCCTGATAACTAAAAGATCTGCCTCCCATTTAATCTTTTTAATTTTAATCAGAACTCTGGCTGCAGCATTTTGGATCAGCTGAAGGCTTTTACCTACAGTCACAGCTATTGTGAACTTTACATTTTTATCCACTATATTTGGCAGACTTGAGCTTTCATCATAGGTAAGCTACACTGTTCTTTTAACTGTTTTATTGACTATGTCCAAGTCTGTCCCTGCTCGCTAACACTGCTTCCAAATGGGGCAAAACAGGTTGATTTACTTTGCATTTCAGAGATTTTACTTTGTACTTTCACAAATCGGATGTTTTTCACTCTGCCACCATGTCTGCTTTCCAGTTTACTCATGATATTGCAGTAAAATTGCTGCATGGGTACAGCCAAACTGGACCAGGGGTCTACCTCGAGCAGAGCTATGCCAGAACACACCAGAAGTGTGAATTTTCAATGAGTTTTAAATATCCCGATCACCTTACAAAGCAGAAACGTTACCGTATTTTACATGTTTTGCATCAAACAAATTACCTAACACTACCTAAACTACAACTATAAATCACTATATCATGCTTTTATGCCTTCATGCTCCTCTAATTTATTGGCATTTACCTGATTTAAGCTTTGGGAGAATTTTAAGGTGGAGATTCATTTATTAATAGCATAGGCTCCCTCTCTTCATTCCCCTTTACTGCTCCTCCTTCTTCCAAAAGAGGGGATTTTGTTTGCCCTGCAGCTCCTCCCTGGACAATGGGGGCCCTGGACTTTAAACAATGGCTCCCACGTCAGAGCCTACTTACTATACAGAGATTTTGTGGGACAGATTCCCGGAAACAGCGACAGGAGGCTTTGGCAAGGCTTCAACTTCCTGAACATGGTAGAAGACTGCAAAATAAAACAAGGGAGGGTGAGGGGGGGTAGTGGAGGGAGTTAAAGGAGGAAGGAGGTGTCTGAGAGGGAAGGCCGAAGGGCTAGATGGTGGAAATTTTAACAAAGCTTGTAGAGTGAAGGATCCTGTCTGAATAGGGAAAAGTGGCGGGGATAAATTAATTGTTGAACTTACTGATTCAGGGAATTAGAAAGATTTTTCTTTGTGTTTAGACTAAACATTAAGAGAATGTTTAGTCTGGATTTCATCCTCACAATTACAGGCGAATAGACAGGAGTGAGCTTATGCTGAAAAGGGGAATCCAAAGGTAGTGACCTCCACTCAGAGAGACGTCTTGCTGTGGCTGGAGCCGATTAGGAGCTGATAAGACGTGCAGATAAAAGGAAAGACAACATCCTGCTCAGTGGGCGGCAGCTAATGTTGGGATGTGCAAGATATGAAGAAGGCTTCCAGCTTCAATCCTTCCATCCATAAACCCAACTATATCTCCCATCAGCTTTTTCTTTCACAAATCAAAGTAATCGTGAACCTGAATTTAGCTCTATGTGTCTACCAACGAAAAACATCCGTGCAACATTATAATTCTGAGAATTGTGTGTTAAAAGAAACGTCCAATCAGCAAGGAATAATCAATGGATCATTATTATTATTTATACCTAAAACACGTTTGCGGCGATTTAATGAATTTAGCGTTAATCAGTAAAAAATAAAAACAATAATTTTCATCTCAATCACCGAGTCTGGGAGCGGCCATTTTTGCCCAAATATAGTAACCCCTCCCTCCTGCTATATTCCAGCAGTGACGTCACGGTGCGGTAAGCCTAGCGCCATTCTCCCCGCTTTACAAGCTAAGTCAATGGGAACTACTAGACACATCT